GGTTTTATTTTCAGACTGAGCAGGTTGCGCGCACTGAGAGATAAAGGTCATCTTAGGACATATGTAGCGTTTAATGTACACACTGCGACTGGGAGTTCATCGCACTGCGAGTATACAGAAGGAGTACAGCCGACCTGAGCATCACTGAAACCGGCCTGGCAGGTAAATGTTACCCCGGCTCTGATGGAACAGTTTGGGCGCGTTTATCCAAAGTGCGCAAGCATGGATAGGAAAAGATGTCGGGGTCTTTCCTTTGTTTCATGCAGCTATATGAGTCGTTTTGTGACTATTTTAAGTTGATTTACTGAATTATGCGCAGTATTAAAAGTTTTTTTTAATAACTTCCATCATTATATAATCAGTAAAATAATGAATAAATAAATGTTTCTAAATATGCATGATTTTGCAATCTGATATTGTATGCCTTTAGATAACCTCAATGATGTACAAACTGTTATTGTCAGCTTGATATGTTTCGTTTTGTATACATTTTGAAGAACTTTTTAGCCATCACAAGGCGAATACTCCATTAACGCATTACGCATGTGTAAAGTGGCGTTATGGGGGTATATCTACCCACATATCACCCATGTATAAAACAAAAGAGTGCACGAACAAAAGAGATGAGTGGTCGTTGTCGGTTAGTCAGTTAGTGGAGCAGGGTATTTGAGGGGACTTCCGAGGAGAAAAGAAATTCATTTCATTGCTGTTTTGACAACACCAAACAGAAGCATGCACAGTAGGCGGTGGCCAGCGTGGATGTTTAGAGTGTTTGAGCATGAAAGTTCACTCATTTATGATCAGGATATAGCAATATTCAAGGCTTTTCTTTGGCCCCTTGCAGCTTTTCTTTTCATCCCGGCCATGTGTAGTGCTGTGTGTCATGTGTTTGCTTTTAATGATGAAGAAATTCACTGTGACAGAGCATGCAACATGGTGCTCTGTTTAAGTTTGCATGTTCCTCATAGCTGAAGATTTTTGTATGTTATCAGGCGTCAAATCACTCCCACTGCTATTCACATTTTCATGCGTTAAAATATCATGAGCGAGTGCACATGAAATGTTTGATGTAACAGGAAACAGCGCCTACATTTTGATTGTGTGGTGCACATTTGAGATTTATTGGTGAGCAAGTCCAAGCATTGGGCTGAGTTTAAAGTCCACAACTGTGTTATGGCTATCAATTAGAGTTCTGGTGATTTTTATATACTAAGGGTGTGTGTCTAATTTGGCTAACCCAATAATGGCCCGCTTCCACGAGATGATAAATCAACAAACCTGCCATTTTACTGGGCAGGAGAGGAAGTCTGCCACTGCCATGTAGACTGAGCCCAAGTCTACCTGGAACCTAAAAGGTGCATGGCCAGACACCCAGAAGGCGATTTAAGGGAGGATGAAGTGGGAATGTCATCCCCTCCTCTCCATCCACTAGGACCAAAGTCACTAATAAGTGGACTGTAGTTTGAGTGAGGATCCATACGCCGTCCTATGCGGGGGCCGGATCTATAACCAATAAATTATTGACAGAGTGTTTCTATTTTAATCAGCCCCGCTTTTCTAGCCTTTACACCACTTGTTTAGAGGTTCATCTCACGTGATGCTACTCAGCCAGTCAAATCTGTGCAATGAGAAGGGCCTTAAGAGTGAGATACACACAGGACAGAGACGAGAGACAGTCAGAGAAAAGTAATCTCACATGGCTTGCAAGTGAATAGTTAGAGAAATTTTCCTCAAGCAAAGGTCCAGAACATCATACTGTAATGTCTAACTTGCGTTATGAACTCGCTGACCCTTTATCTGACAGAGGTTTGTGCAAATTAGAGGGCGCCGAGTCCCGACCATGGCTCCGTAATATCAGTTTGCTAACTGTGCTGTGTATTGACCAATCCATGGCGCTGTCCATGGTGTTGAAGTATTTGTAATTGCGTCTTTTTCTCTCAGTCCCGCCCTTCTGTCAGTTTTGCCTTGAATCTATGATATTCTCCAAACTATATAACTTATATAGCGGGTTATTTAAAAGAACCAGTCTTCTTATCGGTAGGGGGCTCCCACTGGGCTATCCGCCATGTTAAAAATGAACAAATCGCCCACTGCAGATACTTGTGGAGGATTCCCTTTAAAATGTTTATCCACTGGAGCCTCTAGAGTGGGCGTAGAGTTTGGTCTGAACAGAGGGTTGGGAGGCATCCCAGTGGATAATGATAGAGTTGCCAAACATGCAGTTGAGAGTCAGACTCTTCTTCTTGATGTCCCCGTACCTTATAAGCAGCGGCTTCCTGCTTAGTTTCAACACCGGAATGGTTCACTACTTTTTTTTTCTGGGTCATCTGTGCTTGTGATCGCTGAGCGTAGAAAACATGTTCAACTGTCTGTGTTACTGTAACCAAGGTAATGAGTCATCAAGACAAGCTATGTTTTCTCTTCTCCTGTACAAGTTTCAAAGATCATTCTTTACAGCCTTCTTTTGGACCGTTTGATATAATATGATACAAATATTATTTTGATACTGTAGAGCTGTACCAGGTCTCAATAGATCCCTCTCACAGAAGCCATTTTCTCTTGTCAAAGCAGCAAAACCACAGGTGTAACTAATAACAATAACAATAAGAATAAGATGGGTCATTAGGTGTCCTGGTAAGTTGAGTTAGTGAGTGAGCATGCACCATACCCTGAAACTGGCTCATCTGAATGTAATGCAGCCATCATTAAAGAGTCTCTAACTGAAACTAAAGTCACAGCATTCACGTCCACACAAATTGGTGTGAGATAAAAATGCTGACCCCACCTACCTTTCATTTATGACTAAACTTTCCGAATAGCTTTGTGTTAGCCATGTTAGCTTGGCCTTTATGTTACTGAAAGAGAGAGAGAAGGGAAGTGAATACCTTCAACAATACATGTTGTGTGTGTTGTGTTAAAGCAGACTGACATTCGATGGTGGTCTAAGTCTGTAGGCCGAGTCAGGGCTTGAAATAATCCTACATCGAAACAAAAGTGACACATTAACCACACACTATACACTGTATTATCTAAACCAACCTTGTTTGTTTATCGAATGATAATATCATAAGAGGTACAGACTTCCCCTGTCTGCTTCTTTCATCTCAATAGGAAGGGGTCATGTATTGTATTGTACCATATAACCTGTGTCATAAATTGTTCACGTTCAAGTATTGTAGCTTTGCTTCTAGCTGATGCAGTGGGTTTGTTTTGGTCTTTCTTTCTTTGTAACTTTCCATGTCAGTGCTGAATTTAAATATCAAATTCAGCCATTGTATCGTGTCATGCCTGTTTGCATGGTGCTATACTTTCACTTTCAAACAGGGCAGTAGTATGACATACATATACCAAATATAACAAATATATCTAATGATAACATAATGGTATCAATAGGACTTATAGCAATGTTGTGACACGCTGTCACACAGGTCTCAACACTAAACAAAAAATCCTTTTTTGGTATTTTTCAACTCTTATTTCCTTCCTTGCTTCTCCTCCATCATCCCCTCTCTCCCTTGCTTCTCCTCCGTCCTCCCCCTCCCTCCCTGCTCTTCCTGTCTTTCCTTTCTCTGTCGTCTGTAATAGCTACCTTTATATTATTATTGTTTGGCATGTTATGACTTTGTTCAATACTGCCTTTAGAAAGATGACTGGAAATTAAGGAGAAAAAGAGATTCTGCAAAGACTAGACTCAAATCGGGGATGTTGCAGTTCATGGTGGAAATCCATATATAAGAATCCAGTCTCTGTATTTATCTAACCATATTTTTTTTTTACTCTTACTCACAAACGTAAGAATACAAGCTATTTATCAAATTTCTTTTGACTTAGAAGTATTCTTAAATTTAAGAGCGCTCTGGGGGTGTTTCATTTTTTAGTGTCTTAGATAGCTGCTGCAGAGACAAGCAAGCATACAAAAAACCACATCCAGCTAAACCGCATACATACACATAAGGCAGAGAAAATAAAACTGTTTTCCCTTTTACCATTTGAGAGTGGGTGAAAATGAGTGAGTCACCAGGTAAAACAAGTGTCAGTCTGTTAGTCTGCTGAGATTTGTTTTCCCCCGTCTAAACCGGGCTCTTGAAAAGAGTCTTCAGTGTAATATTGCAGAGTTTTGATAATAAAGGCCCAGGTTGACGTTTTCCTGTATTTGATGATCAGTTGTGAAGGCTTTTGACCCCTGAAGCAGGACTCTTTCTGAATCCAAGGAATAAATAATATATTTAATTTGCATTATTTTCATAAATTATTCATATCAACTCAATTTGTTTGGTATAGCTTCCAGGTACATGTCCAGTGTCTGGCCATTTTAATTTTGTACCACAAAGATACAAGAAGTCCTACAGTCCCTAGATAGGTGTAATGAACAGTAATACTGTATATAGAAACGAGTATGATCACACACTTTATTGGTTAATTTATTAGTTTATTTATTCAGCCTTAGTGTATATATCATTACTTGTTTTCTGCTTTATAAAAGCACTAAATGGGGGGACTTCCTGTCAAGGCTGGTTGTATACTGACTGTACAGGTCTGAGTAATGTACAGGAGGCTTGTGCCCAGCTAGTAAAACAGTATGACAAATATGATCATGGTATTGAAATATAATGTTGCTGCCTTTGTAGTTAGACATTTCCTGATATGACAGAAATTTTGAATTGAACTTTGCTACAATTGTTACCATCTTAATTTGTTTGTTTTTTTAAGTTTCAAGATATTTGAAAGCAGATACCACAGCTTGCAACATAAACAGCACTAAATGAAACAAAAATATTATTTTAATAGTGAGATTCAGCAATGAGGAAATTGTGAAACTTAATGTGGGAACAAAACTTGAAAATGGTTGTGGTTGCAATTACACTCACCAAGACATGCGAAATCATCAACTGATGTTGGCACACATTAGGCTGCCACTGTTCAGGCAACTTAAACACAGTATCAGTTTCAGTCCTCGTGCATCAATATCTTTGTTTTTTCACTTGTGTGTGTGTTAACAGGATCCAAAATGCAGGAAGTGGATCAGGACCCGTATATCTGTTCTGACATGGGCAGTATACCAGGTTAGTATTGTTTGAGTTTGACTGACCTGTCTAGACTGTAGAAAGGAGCTCTGAAGAATGGAGTTTTTTGTGGGGCTAAAATTATTCCGTTACTGGTTGAGCCCATTAAAGCAACATTATATAAGAATTGGTATTTTTTGCGATTTGGCACAATTCACTTATACACCTACATATGGACAGCATAAAACCTCCTCTTCCCATTGGTCCACAGCTATTGTTCTAGCAGTGTAAAGACTGCACACACTCAACCGGTGATCTGAGTTCACAGTCTGGGCAGCGCGAAAAAAACTAGAACTGTAAATAACAAGTAGAGGATGAGCAGCCACAGGGAAAGCCAGGAAACATTTTCTCCATAAAATATGGCCCACTTTCATCAAACTCAGTGACATAGTTGGTGGTATGGGACTTAGTGCCGTAAAGCACTATGCACTTGTCCCAACCCAGAGCACAAAAATACATATAAACAGGTGTATAGGGGGCAGAGTGGGAATGACAGAGGCACAATTTACTCTATTACAAGTCAGTGTCATATCAAAAATATTATTTTCAGGTAGAACATTTACACAATGCTGCCTGAAGAGTCAGATAAAAGATCTGAACTCCTACTATAGGTGAGATGATCAAACCCTGCTGCCTTTGTCCCATTTTATCTAAAATATGAAGAAGACCTTGTTATAAATAGCCTCCGAAGATAGTACACTGCAGGTGTCAGACATACTGATATCATTTACCTTATAGTCACGTGGATACACAAAAACAACCCCAATAGTAGTTTAATATCTACCAACCATAGTAATATTGCGAAGGCTGTGTGACACCATACTTATTTTGTACCACAAAGATGCAGGAAGTGGTGCATTCATGTGAAGACATTTTAAACAGTAGCACTTTAATCTGCAGCAGATAAAAGTGCATGACATAGCATAAACAATGGCAGCATTGTGTTTACAATGAGGAATAAGCAATGAGGAGATTGTGAAAGTAACATGAAAACTTGTGCAGAACAACTGAAAACTGCTTTCAGTTTAAGTGCATCACTATTTTCATTTTTTTCACTTTGTGTGTGTGTGCGTGTGTGTGTATATTATTAGATGCCAAGATGCTGGAAGTGGCTCTGGAACCGTATGGCACTCTTGACTTGGGAGATTTGCCAGGTTAGTAGTTTGAGTCTCAATTACCAGCCTAGACTGTAGAAAAGAGCTCTGCAGATTGTTTCTACATGAATCAACACACTGATGAAACTGCATGAAAGTTACTCCATAAAACTACTGGAACCTCATTAATCAAATTGGGAGAGTTAACTAGAAAAATATTTGTATTCAGTAACTGGTTAAGCTCATTAAAAAGTAGATAAAACATCTGGAATCTCACTAGACTCAGGTGAGATCCTCAGATCCTGCTGCCTCTGTCCTATTTTATCCAAAATATGAAGCAGAGCTTGTTAATCCATGCACATTCAATGCATTGTGACATTTAAATGGTTCATTAGCAAATATGAGTGAAAGAAAGGAAAGCAAACTGTTTCATCCAATAATGCTCTTTATTTGTGTTTTAGATGATTTATCTGAATACTTGAATTATAATGAAGATAACCTGGGGAAGATAATGGGTGAGTTGTAACCAAACCCCCTCACACACACTGCATTCATTCATGTGTACAGTGTACAATATGTAATGATACATAAACACATATTCAAAAGTAATCTATTGTCTAATTCTCTCTATGCATTTGCTTAACCAGACACAGATCTGCTCTTTGGCGATTCGTTGTTGAACTGTATGGATGAACTCCCCGACTTCAGTAAGGATCTTCTTTTTTCATCTTGCAGCTGCTGACACATAACAGCAGATAGGCAATAAAGGAGAAAAAGAAAAGGTCTAAAACTGTAAAACAGACATGTTCATACACAGTGGACTGTGGATGAATAATAGACGGAAGCCTATAGATTAATAACTGTTATTAGATACTGTCATGTGTTTATCATATACGTCCAAAGGCCACGACTGACCTGGACTAACCGCAAACATAAGTAA